AATGGAATGGGATGATAAGGATGCAGAAGTTGCAAGGCCAGAAGGTCCACTTCCAACAATCACTACGACGTTCTCCATCTTCTCTACTCTTTGGTATTGTTAATTAGAAAATAAATTAAAAAAATATAAAAATAATAAAAACGAATTTGATTTTGAATCGGAAAACATTTACTTACACTTTTATAGTACAATAAAACTTCAAAATTTTCAAACAAAAGTAATGAACGGTTATATCATGTTGTTTAAATAGTTAATAACTCTTTTATTGTATTACTATTATAAACAATTGTTTATATTCAAAAACAAATTTTTTGTTTAAATGGTTATAACCGTTTTATTCTATACTTATTATTAACATTTGTTCGTTGTTTTTGTCCGAACATTGTGATTAAACGAACATTTTTTTTTTGTTAAATGAGATAGTTATCAAGAAAAATTCTGTTTTTTAAATGAGATAAGTAAAGAAGAAAAATTTATAATGAAATGTAAGGTTTTATGTATTTAATGAGTGATGATAAAAAAAACATCTAAGTTTCTTTTCCCACGATTCTGACTATTAATTGCATTATTCCCATTATTGCATATGCTGTAATGTATACATACATATATAATTACCAACTTCTGCATATTCGGGTTTTTTAATTACCGTATTGTAAATAATTACTAAATCACATTCCAATCAACGTACAAATGAGTTGGACTTTATATTTTCTTCTAAAAAAATTGATTACCTTTTGCTAATTTTGAGTTGTGTGTATATATATACTCCCATCATCTCTGTCCCAATTAACTCAAATAACAAAGTGTAGATGGAGGAAATAGAGCATAATATTCAACAAACAAGCAAGGCAAACATTAGCCAAAAGATGGAGCTCTCATGTCCAACGGTCAACAAAATAATTGGAGCAATAGTAGCTTAAAGATGCTCATGATAGATTTCACATCTCTTGATTATTGTAAACTCCTATATATTGTATTTAATTCTTTATCATAGTTTCCAATTCTATCGAGGAAGCTAACATTTGTGTTGTAATATATTTTCTATATAAAGGAAGGATCAGTCTTCAAGGACTCACGAAAAACTCAGTGAGACCCTATAATTCTTTTTTCTTCTTAAATTTCATCATATATATATATATATGTATATATATATCATAATTTTTTTATAGGAGTTTTTACCAATGCTCTAAAGATTAGGAAACAACATGCTTCGTATTACAAAATATTCAACACTAATTTTTTATAATTTGCTGATCAGTTGTTACAAAATATTCAATGTGTTTACATATGAGGGCAGCTCTTGCTCTGATCAATATGCTACTTGATGACGAATAATTGATAATGTACGTGGATTATCAATACATTAGATTATATAATATAAAATTTATTACTTACAAAATATAATTGTATATTTACACAAATAATTAAAATTAAGAAAGTGCATGTTAACATGAAGAGTTTGTTTTAGGTATATCACGTTAATATAAAATTTATTACTTTTAACGTTAACATGATTAAAAATTTGAAAAAAATAATTGAATGTAAATTTCAGCTCATTTTTATTTATCAAATAAATTTATTTAATGAAAGTGTTTCAATGGAAGTAGAGCTTTTATTTATAAATTAGATAAATTTTATTAATATTTATAATAATAATATTTTAAAATGATAATTTAGAAGTATAATGAACAATCATGTCAATTTTTACTAGTTCATCTATTTTGTTTTTTTAGCATTCCAACAAGGAGAGAAAATTTGTTGTAACAGACTATCGAGAAATTGTGAATTTCGGTATGAAATTCCTTATGCCGGTACAATACTCATGTATCTTTATGTACCGTCGTTTTTCCATTATTTTTTACTCACTTTGCTAATTAACTCCCCTCACACAATTAATTTTTAAAAATTAATTTTATAAAACAAACAATTTAACATACAATATGATAACATAATAAAAAAAATTACAAAAATAATATAATTTAAAATTTTAACATAATTAATATATAAATTTAAAAAAAATCACAAAATATATTTTCTATTTGATACAATAATTTTTATATTTTATAAATATTACATATGAAATAAATAAATATTAACACACAAATTATAACGGCTGGCAAGACCTTACCTTTGTTCATCTCTCTCTCTCTCTCTCAACGGAACCCGCTTCATTTTGCTATTCTCAGATGTTATGCAAAATTACCGTGCTTTAGACTGGTTTGCTGAGACCTGAGAGCTATTCTAGTTCAGTCAGATTGGCATCACGGTTGGCCATGCTACTAAATTGGTTTCAGAGTCCATGAAGTGTGTGAATGGTCCACGAAAGAATAGAGCTAAAAGATTGGATACGGATCTAGATGGCTTACACTTCATAAGTTATACTGAATGAGTGAATGGTTAGATTGGCTATTCAAATTGTCTAAAATAAGAGAAGATAGTAACCATTTTAATTTTGGGTTCTTTTCCCTTTCTAGATATTGCACGTTCACATATATTAATGTTGGTAGGTTGTCAATGCTGTGCAGACAACTTTACTGCCATCATGCCCTTGCTTATTACCATTGAAGAGGTCATTGTCTTTGATTTCATTCTATTGAACGTATCTATGGTAATGATTTGCATATGAAAACATGAAAAATGTTGGTTTTAGTGTTTTTCACTTCCAAGAGACACAACTGTGGAGAATAAGAAGTTGCCTCTAAAACTTGGAAGAGGCAAAATAAGAGGCCTGTTTACAAGGTTCAAGTTTGATGATGCAACAAGAATGAGATATCTTGTCCAGACTGTACTCTCGGCAATCAGCAGATACCTACCAAAATTTAGCCCTACATTTTGTTTCACCTACTCTGATGCCAATGCAAGAAATGAGCTGAAGTCACTTGTCAAGGGTCTCCTCTGCAAAAGCTCAGTCTATGAGAAGGAACAACTTGAGGTGAACAAGGAGGATTTCTATGCTGTTTGCCAAGGGTCAGGCTGACTAGGTAGTACTAGTAATCAAGGGCCGTTTTGTTTTCCTTAGACGGTGCATGGCCTTCTTTGCATTGACACGTGGCACGTCAAGCACTCGCGTGTAGGTTTGTGATGTGATTGTGGTGCTATGCATTTGTGCATCACCTCCACATGCATTCCCAGACATCCCTTTTTTTTTTTTTTGCCATTGTACCATGCTCATGCATGGAAAATATGTTACTACTATTACTATGGTGTCATTTCTCTTTTAAATTAAAAAAGAATGATAAAATTTTTTTAGACATAATGTACAAACTAAAAATATTCTATTAATAACATTGTAAATTTTCTAAATTAAAATAAAAGTTTTTATAAGTTTGTTATTTTTTTCTTTTAATTTTGATTCTTTATTAAAAATTATAGAAAGAGAACTTTGGATATTCTAATTTTCTAATGCTAGCATTTGATATCATTTATTTGTGTAAAATTTTTCTTAACCGATTAACTAAAAATCACATAATTTAAAAATAATAAAGACCTTCAATTTGATTGAATAAAGTCAGAAATTAATTTACAAGAATAAATCTTTTGGTCCAAGCAGCACATAATTTAGACTTTTTGAAATTATTCTGTTCCATTATGAAACTAGTTCACAATAATCAATCAGCCATAAATATCTAATGCAAATGGACCCCCTGCTACTTTGATCCTAACTTCTTTTTTTTTGGTACAACTAATTAGTATGTTCTTCTTTGAATAATTATAGTATAAATTCTACTAAGATGAAAACTAAAACAGACTAAGAAACAACATAACCTAATACCAAACTTTTTTTTGGGTATAGAGGAGTATCAAAGGAGTAATACTTATTTATGTATATATTTTTTATGCCAAAATTTAAAACATACATTTTCTTAGATAAAAAATTTATATTTATGTATATTAATAAAAAAAAAAAGTTCGATAGTTAAAGTTTATTAAAAATTTGACAATAAATGATCATAAATTTTAACGTGGTAATTTTTAATTTTTAATTCTTTATTAAAGCACGACAGTCATCTCTTGAAAATTCTTTTGGTGCAGGACACATCTGGTAATTTGTCTATCTCGATTTTTTTTAGATGCAAGGCAAAATATCAAAAGTTGTGTCGGTGAAAATGAGATAAAATAAATTTAAAAAAAATACATTAGATGAGAAGCGTCATCATCGTCAATGGTGGTGATGATATGTACCAGTAGCATGTTTGCACATTTATATACATATATTTATATAAAAGTTCAGTTCCAAAAAAAAAAGGGGGGGGGTGTGAGGGAAAAAGAAAAACAGAGTGAAAAAGAAAAAGAAAAAAAAAGAAAAGAAAAAAGCATAGGAGGAGCAGAGACTGCAATAAATACCCAGAAAAGAAAAAATAAAAATAAAATTAATTGATACTAACTTAAAACAATAGCGATAATCTTTTGATAATATTTAATATTTCTAATTCTAAAATAAATCCAATGGGAAAAGAGCTTTAACACAAAATCAATAGATCATTAATTCGGCTATGTTTGAAGTTGTGTTTGGGTTTTTATAGTAAAAGAAAAGATCAGACTTTTCGCATCTTCTCTCAAGATTTTTCAACACTGCCATTTAACTCTGTCAGTTCTCTCTCTTCTCTTTTTGTCAATCGGTTTTCCTTTGTCTGAGACGATGAACAAAAACTACTTAAACTTTTTTCCCATGCTTTTCTTCTATCTTTTCTTTTCTTTTCTTTTTTGGTCTTTGGTTTTTCATTTCATTGGTGAACTTTTTTCTGTATTTAATATGTGGGTTTTCATTGATATCAAGCCTTCTTTTTTGTTTTTGTTTTTATGGGTGTTGGTATCTGGGTTTAGATTGAGAGAAAGGGTTCAAATTTAACAGACGGGTTGTAATTTTAGCCTTAAATCCATGAATTTCCTTTCTTTCTGCCACTTTTTCTTTGCAACCAAATATAGATGAAAACTTCATTACTTTGTTTGTTTGCTTGTTTTTTTTTTTTTTTTTTTAATTTGGGAGATGGAATAATTTCAATTTGCTTTTTTTTTTAATGTTACAATATGTCACTATCGTTTTCTTTTTATACTAATATATTAGCGTAAACCACGGGTGGGAAATATTTGTGCCAAGAAGAGGCGACTTATTTGATAGTGGGTTTTGGCTCTGTTTTTTTGTGATTTTTTTTTTCATGGCTTAATTGTTATAAATTTCAAAAAGAATTTTCACTAAATGGTCCCAGCTTGTCACTGTAGGTTCTTGTTTGTGAACAGTGCTGGAATTGTTATAATGAGTCATGACCGTATTTTCTTGCTAGGAATTAACCCTTTTATTCTTCTCTGTTATCGTCTATAATTCAGGTTTTAGTGGTCAGAATGAAACTGTTCCCACTTGTGTTCTGAAATGCTGAGCTGGGGTGTCGAGTTCTAAATATGGCCTGGATTTTGCTTCTTGGTTGAATATACATATTGCCTTTCTCTGTCAAGGTGCCTTGGGAGGCTCAAAAGGATATTTGGGTATGGTGAATTCAAGCTGTATTACTGGAGTTTTCTGAATTTGTTGAGCTGTTGCAGTCTTATTTAGAGAAATATGGTGCCGTCTGGGCCGTCAACTCCAATTGGTGGTGCTCAGTCTGTTTCTGCGACACTTATGCGATCAAATTCTGCTATTTTAGGATCTCAAGGTGGTTTAATGCCTCAGCAAGCAACATTTTCATCACTTGTCTCAGCAAGAGCGCAGCATAACATGAATTTGCTAGGAAGCACAGCAAACATTTCATCACTTCTCAATCAGACTTTTGGCAATGGGGGTTCGAACTCTGGCCTATCTGGTATGACTGGTTTCCAGAGGGGAGGTTTTGATGCCACAGCTCAGTCTGATCCTCTCGCTGCTGTAGCAAATGATATTGGTTTTAAGGTACCTCCTTCATCGTTCACTCCATCAAATGTTTCGAATTCTGGGTCATCAGGCCAACTTCAGAATCAGCAAATTGCAAGCTCTGCTGGAAACCCTGCACTGCTGGATCAACAGCAATCTCAAGTTCAACAATTTGAGCAACAAAAGTTTCAGCATGATCAGCAGTCAATGCAACAGTTCCCTTTTTCCCACAGTCAATCACAGCAGCAATTTCGATCAATCCGAGGAGTGTTAGGTGGCACAGGTGCAGTCAAGTTGGAGCCTCAGACTATGAATGACCAGATTGGTCTCAAGCAACAGTTGTCGTCATTCCAAAATCTTGGACCAGTGAAGCAAGAACGTCAACAGAACCAAATTGGAAGAGGCATAGGACCTGTAAAATTGGAACGTCAACAGTCTGATCAAGGAATGCTTTTGCAGCAGCAGCAACAACAACAACAGCAGCAGTTCCTCCAATTGTCTAGGCAGTCTTCTCAAGCTGCCCTTACACAGATGAATCTTTTGCAGCAACAGCGTATTTTGCAGATGCAACATCAACAACAACTATTTAAATCACATTCTCAGCAAAGGCGTCAACTACAGCCACAGTTTCAGCAGCAGAACTTGCCAATTAGATCTGCTGCTAGACCAGCTTATGAACCAGGAACTTGCGCCCAACGTTTGACCCAATACATATATCAGCAACAGCACAGACCTGATGTAAGATAATTTTGCTTGTGAAAATATTCGTTCATCCGGTGATTGCTGTTCCACTTGGTTGTAACACTTGTTCTTGGTTCAGGATAACAATATTGAATTTTGGAGGAAATTTGTTGCTGAATTTTTTGCTCCTAATGCAAAGAAAAGGTGGTGCATTTCGTTGTATGGAAATAGTCGCCAAACTAATGGTGTTTTTCCTCAGGTATGTTGTCTAAAGAAATTAATTAATTTACTCTTTACTGTCCATAGGGAGAGGAAAACCTGGTGCTTTAGAAAGAGAGAGGATTGGTGGTTGGCATGGAGTATCCTTGGTGCATTCCCTTCCCAGAATTTTAGATTTGCTAAATGATGTCTCCCATTATCACTGTTTTTTAATGTTTGATGTGGGTGCAAAATCTGAATAATGAGTTATTACAGATAATTACCTTTGTGGTTCAGTTATGCTATATTGGAAAACAGTCTGACGCAAAAAAAATTGTCAGATAAGGTGCTATAGCTTCCATTGTAAGCCTGGCCTCATTTAAGGATAAGTAAGAAGATTTTAGTTCTTAGCATGGGGAAAAAGTTGTATGGTTTCAAAAGGACTTTATAATTCAAGTGGACAGTTATTAAAAGTATCTATAGAAGTGGCAGTTGGTTTTGGGATGTGACAATAATTTTCTCTATTGTTGTTAAATAAGATTTGGATTTGGATGCTTGGAGAAAACATGCTTCTATTGTTAGAAAGGAAAACTTTGGTATTAGTGAAGAGAAAGAAAATTTAGTAGTTTTTTGTGTGTTGACCGAGGAGAATGCTAGGATCTTGATTGCATATCTATTTATATCTCATTGGAGTCTTGGTCAATTAAAATGACGCTTCCCACTTTTTGGAATGCTTCACAACGTTTAAGATTTTGTTGTGTTGCCATTAAGAGGAAATATTAGAAATTTAATTGAAGCTTTCGCAGGATATATGGCACTGTGAAATATGCAACTGCAAGCCTGGTCGTGGTTTTGGTATGTTATTTCTTTCACCTCATATTTTATGGTAATTTAAAGACTCCTGCTTTTGAAGTTGACTTTATCTTGTCATAGTAAGTTAGGAGCTGACTATATCTTGGTATATTAAGTGAAGAAAGTGTTCTGTATTCTATGTAAATGGTCCTACTTCTTAACTAGTGTGTTTATCAAGTTCTGCATCCATGACTACTAGGAAAATATTGAAAACTACTATGAGGGTTCAATCCTTATTGATTCACCTTTGGCAAACAATTAGTGACAAAGCTCAAATCTCATGCTTATATATATGGACTTTTTATTTAAATGCAATCCTTTGTAGCACATTTTGGATACTTTTGGTGCCCTCTTTAATCAAGATCTGGGTTTTCTTTGCATGGAAGAAAGAAAGATTCTAAATACTTTACCAATAGAAATGGTGTATGCTACCTTTCTTATGATTGTCAATTTGGATTTGCATCCTAATTTCGGTACATGGGCTTCATCTAAAGCAACAATACAGGATAAGTTGGGTCTTCAATCTCCACTCTTATTGTCTGAGTCATAAGTATCATAGACACTAGGCTGTTGCTCTATCTGTTTACTCTCAGGTCAATTAATAACTTCCTTTTTACTTGGTGTACATTTGAAATGGCAATCTTTTATATATGAATCAAACATAGGTGATGCTATATTGCTTCTTTAACTTTTCTATCTCATTGTACACAAGTTTTAGGAAAAGAAAAGGAAGGAGTAGAATAGTGAAACTGTTGAAAGTAAGATAATTGGTAATTGTAAGGTCTAGACTCCATAAAGCTGGTGCCAATAAAAAATGAATGTTATTGTACGATGTACTGCATGATATTTTCCTCCCTGCTGCACAAGTTTATCTCTATTTAATGAGTGGTCCATGCTGAAGAAAACTAAGATATGCCTTCAAAGCTAAGCAGCTGAAAATCTAAGTAGAATTTCATTCATCTTCAGTGAGAGAGTAAAGAATATAACTTGTAACTGTATGGGGAAAAGGGTTCTATTAACTATAACAAAAGGGTTTCATTACTTCATGTACCAATTTGCACAAAAAAAAAAAAAGCATGAAAAGACGTCCCCTCTTTGTTGAAATGGAATTTAATGTAAACGTCAAATTCTTCCTTCACACACATTGTCTTTGTACGTTCAGAGACAACTGTTGAGGTTCTGCCCAGGCTATTTAAAATCAAATATGACAGTGGCACTTTGGAGGAGCTTCTTTATGTTGATATGCCTCGTGAATATCACAATGCAAATGGTCAAATCATCCTTGACTATGCAAAAGCAATACAAGAGAGTGTTTTTGAGCATCTTCGTGTGGTACGGGATGGTCAACTTCGTATTGTTTTCTCGCCAGATCTGAAGGTTTGGGTACGCTAACCCTGTGTTAATGGAGGTTATAACTTCTGGAACTTCCAATTGGTTGCCATTCTATTTATCTTATCTTTTTCATGCTATCTAGATTTGCTCTTGGGAGTTTTGTGCACAGCGTCATGAGGAGCTTATCCCTCGAAGATTGATAATACCTCAGGTATAGAAATTGATGCTTTATATGTCTGATGTAGATTTATGTGCTTAACTTTACTTTGCCTTACTATAATGCTGGCACATTAAAAATCATTATTCATTGCTGAGCAAGTTCCTCTTATCTCCACTCTAAAAGAACATAGATAAGCCTGATGTTCATTTTAGAAACAGGGGACACAGGGAGTAGTAGAAGGTGAAGAAAAATGATTAGGCTACCCCTCCCTTTCCCTGCTCCGAGCCCTGAAAAGCAAAAATCTCTGTTTTTTCTATAGGGTGGGAGGGAGGGAGTATGATCGGAGAGAACTGGCGGATTTCAGTATGGTTTTTTTCCATTGCTCTTTTTGTATTTGCTTTGACTTATCTTCTCTGCTGGAGGTGAAGAGTGGTTAGATGGGCTTTGATGAACTGAAGAACATTCTTTCATAGATTCAATGAAGCCTTTTACCTGATATAAGTTGGGGAAGAGCTTCATTTTCTTATACTTTGATAATTGACCAAAGTGGATTCCAGGTAAGTCAACTTGGAGCTGCTGCGCAGAAGTACCAAGCATCAGCACAGAATGCATCATCCAACTTATCTGCACTGGACTTGCAGAGTAACTGTAACATGTGAGTTTATAATCTTATTAGATCACTCTCATAGTTTATGACTTATCCTCTCCCTGCGGTCACTGTAACATGTTAATTATTTATTCATAACTGTGTCATGAATATACACTAAAAGGTTTTTTAAATCATTGTAAAGAAACTTTGTTACCATAAGTTATTAAGGTAATTTTTCTTATCTTGCAAATGTTGTTGTAAATCAGCTGAATGCCATTGAATTCAACTTTAAAGCAAGTAAAATCAAATGTCAATATATGGCCTGATAGGCTTAAACATCTGTTACTGGCTGTACCTAGCCAAAGTTAGATGCCCTAGGATATATAAGCTTATTTTTGTGTCCCTGAGGCCATATGCCCTTCTTCTTTTCCAAATCCTGCTGCCACCCTTAAGCATCTCCTCTCCCTCTCTTTCCCCTATTTGATTCAAGGCATAGACCAGCGCAAACATGTGAAAAAATCAATGATGGCCATTGTGACACCCAGGCCAGTCTCCCATCTATTCTTTTTCTTTTGCTCTGTGTCCTTGTTGTAAACTCAGATCTTCTAATCTCTCAGGTCAAGGCAGCACCATCCTAGATGGCTTTTTCATTGATGGTGTTATCTTCTTTTCTTCCTGCTTTTGTTTTAAATTCCCTGTATCCAGCCATGTTCATACTGTGCCTTTTTCTCAAAGAGAAAATTAACTCATTTATTCTATGCCATATTTAACTCTTGAATTTCTATGTTGGCATATTTGAGATATATCCACATCGAACACGGACATGAGGGCTGTGCCCATTCATGCTTCCTAGATTGGTTCTGAATTGACAATCACAAAATGTTTATTGCGATTTTTTTTTTTTATATTACTAAGGATTGGTGATAGAAGGAAAATTTGAAGGTATCATCAATGGATTACAACACACTGAATGAAACAAAGATGCAGATGCCTGCCAGAATGAAAGGGAGTCTAACAAAATCATAAAGCCATATTATGTTCTATGGTATTGGTTTCTGTGGGGTAGTTAGAGGACAAAATATCCATTAGATGGGTCTAGCGAAATGGACATGTTGACACGACATGTAAGATAAGCTAGTCTAAGAAATGAAAATATTCGTAAGAATGTGCATGGCAATCAGCAAAACTTAAATGGTTTACTCATGCAATATAGACTTAGGGATGCTCCCATATACGAGTGATTGGATTCAATTGGGACTGAAGTAGAGGTACTAAAAGATGATGTTGGGAAGGTGATGAGAAAGGACTGGATTGATGTCTTTGGATCTTCAGAGGATGTAACCTTAAACCATGTGGGCTAAAGAAAATGAATTCATGTATGTGATCCCAAACTTGTTGGGAGTAAGACTTAGTTGGTTTAAGTGTAGATGATAGTTCAAATATGTTTTGAATTATGCCCCCGTATGTTTACTGAATAGTATGTAAAAGTGGTGTATTTGGACATCTAACTGAAGGTGATGTGGAGTGGTGTTCTTGCAAGGGAGACCATTCCATCATTACCTGATTCACTTATTTCATGCATGACCTTTTGTACATATGCATACTTTTCACGTGTCACCTTAGATTACTTTGTCGGTTACACATTTGATTCTTACAGGTTTGTTGCATCTGCTTGTCAATTAGCGAAATCCTTGGATGTTCCTTTAGTTAATGATTTAGGGTACACAAAAAGATATGTGCGGTGCCTTCAGGTATTATAACCTGCAACATTATTTTCCGTCATTATGAATTATAGCATTTGTTTATGGTTTTCCTTTCTGCTCTAATGACTTTAGTTCAAACTTAGATAAGTTTTGTGATCAAGTATAGTTGCTAGTTTTGTTGCTCTCAGATCATAACCTTTTTGCATGGTAAAACCTGTTGCATGGCATGGTATTTTATTAAACTGTGAAAAATAACAAATGCACAGAACATGGCTTATTTCTCTTTCTTTTTCTCTATATTTTTTAATAAAATTCTTCTTCTTTTATGTCTAGAAATATTGGGATCTTCTCTCTTCTTTTTTTCTGCTCTTTTTGCATACAAATCAAGTTGTTAAGCAAGATCTAATAATTGAATGAGTACATGTGACGTGGAACTGAATGAAGCCTTAATTTCCCTATTTGTCCTGTATTAGAGCCATGTAACTAATTTTTATAAAGAAACTTAGTGGTTTGAGATTTATGGGTTGGCAATTTTTATTGATTGCATGAAATTCTATAGTACGATGGAATTTTTAATAATAAAACTAGAGCTACTGATCTAAACATTTAACATGAGTACAACGGCCTTTGCGATCATTTGACCAGAATTCTAGGGTTGCCATTTGGAAAATGAAAAAGCCATGTAATGATTTTTAAAGCTGCTCATGTTAGCACTGGTAGTCGGTACCCTTAGTGGCACATAGTAGCCGTAGCCAGTATGAACAATTTTGCAGAGGTGTGTTTTTCATGAATTAATGTACAGAAAATAATCTGATGATTTTATGAAAGTATGGGGACTAAATTCATAGTGGGACTAAATACATACTTAAACCTTATAATTTTATTTTATTTTTATAGTTTCTTGGTGACATTAATTAGTTATACATGTCAAGTATAGGGACATAAATGCTGTACTGATTGGAAAATGAATTACTAAATGAATGAGCCTTATCTTTATAATAGTGTTTAAGCTTGATGAGATTTATAGGTCTTCCAATCTATGGAAATGATTAGCTACAAAATTTTTAATATGATTAGTATTGTAGATTTAGGAGAGACTAAAAATTTTAGAGGTAGACTACGAAAAACACGGATACAAATAATAAGAAATGATATGAGGATTAAAGAAGTAGATAAAAAAGTTGTTTTTTATAGAACTGAGTGGCGCAAGAAAATTCAAAACTACAACTTAACATGAATTTTTTTTTTGGCCATTCATACAATCGATCCTAGAGTTATGAGATATAAGGCTTTTGTTGTTGTCCCCCCCCCCCCCCCCCAAAAAAAAAAAAAAAAGGAAAGAAAAAAAATGTAAAAATAATTTGTTACATGGGTGATCACCCATGAGGCTGTCACAACTCTATGAGCTTTTAGACAAGATAATAACTTTTCTTATAATCCTACTTTTCTCTTTGTCTGCGAATGTGCCTTCTCTGGCTGATGTTTTCTTGATTCTCATGCCATCTTACATGAAAGCACAAATTCAAAGCTTAGCTTGAGAGGAATTTAAGTTACTTTTGTACATGATCTAACTGGTGGTTTCCAATTGCAGATATCAGAGGTTGTTAATAGCATGAAGGATTTGATTGATTGTAGCCAAGAGACAGGGATGGGACCCATGGGTAGAATTTATAAATTCTGGTCTTAAAATATTTATGATCATTATGCATGTTCACTGATTTATTAAAAAGCAATTTTGTTGATCAATTTGTGTGATGCTGATGTTGTTGATCTTCCTGGCCTATCTGAACCCCTAATAATTAGGTAGAGCAGCAAGAAACCTGAGAAGATGCAGGTTCAGGTTTTCATTGCCTTATAATAATCCCAAATACCCTCAGTTGATGGAGGCAACAAATGATCCCCACCTCGATTTCAAGTTCAATTGATGTACTTTGGCTGGATCATGGATGTGCCGAAGCTAATGTGGCATAATATTTGGATGCCAGATACCTTGACCAGATTTTACAACTGGATCAACACTAGCTTTTTTTTTTTTTTTTGGAAATAAAACTTAATGTGGTTTTAACTAAGAGATCAAACTAGCTTACAGGGGCTGTTTTAATGGGCATTATGCCATTTAGGAGGATCAGTGGCTCCTGTTTGGCATAGACTGAGCTTGAGGCCCTGAGTGATACTTGTATTGCACTGGCTTCTTTTGTTTTTGCTTTTATTTTTCATATAGTGTTGAAGAAGGTTCTCATAAACTTCTCTCATAGTACTTTAATAAATCAAAATTATTTAGGAAACCTTGAAGTGTCACAATTAGCATTGCTGTTGATCTCTTTTTTAATTGGTTATAGTTTTCACTCTGCCTTAAGACATTGGTAATTTTTTCGATTCATGTTCAGAAAGTCTGGCCAAGTTCCCAAGGAGTTCCCCATCATCTGCACAGCATAATTCAGCTCGGCAAACTGAGGAGCAGCAGCAAATTACTGGAGAAAATGCAAATAATGATCCTCATTCAATACATTCAACTGTTCTGCGGCCTTCTACAAGCAATGGTGTTGCTAGTGTAAACAACTCGCAGGGTGCAACATCCACTTCTACTTCTGCTACCACCATTGTTGGGCTTCTTCGGCAGAATTCCATGAATTCTAGGATTGAAAACCAGATGAACAATACAAATGGTCCCTATGCTGGAACCCCAGTTCAGATCCCATCTGCAGGGTCCTCTACTACTTTGCCACCCACTCAACAAAATCCATCTTCACCTTTCTCATCTCCGACACCATCCTCATCTAATCTGCCTCCTCAGGGTTCTCATAATGCCTTGGCTTCTTCAACTAGTGCAAAGAATGTCAATTCAGCAAATTCATCAGCACAGATTGCACTGCAGCAGTCATCTCAGTCAAGTGAGGTTGACCCCAATGAATGCCAGAGCTCCGTTGAAACAATCATTCAAGAAATAATGATTTTATCACAGTTCAGTGAAGCAGGTAGCATGGTCAGTGTTGGTTCTGTAGGGAATAACTTCAAGAACAATAATGGGCTTCCACAGGTGAGTGGCAGCTGCCTGATGGGGAATGGGATCATTAATTACAATTCAGGCATTGGAGGTGGAGGATTCGGGAACTTGAGTGGTGGCATGGGTCTTTCTCCCAATCCCACTGCTATGAGATCTGTCATGGGCAACAACTCTATGAATTTCACTGCAAGGGGGAGCATGCCATTGATTTCTCAAGATGCTGTGAACCATCAGCAACGGGAATTAGCTATCAGAATACTTAATGGGCTTGGAGCAGTAAATGGCTTTAATAACCTTCAATTTGATTGGAAATCCCCCTAAATTAGCTTTGTTCACTACTCTTTTATGAATTTGCTGAGGTTTGTGATGGTAGTACGGAGTGCATGTGCCATGCTTCATGGTTTGCCTTGAGTTTGGAGTGGTGATGCATAGGTAAGAGGATTTTTTTCGACCTGGTACTGACTATAGAGAGAAAGATAACAGGTAATTCAGCCTTGGCAGGTGGAAGAGTTAACATATAATTCTGTGTGTCTAGAGTGTGCTTAAAGGGTTCCCTTTTGGACGTCTGTGTGCCATCTTTCCTTGTAACAGGTGCCACAAGGGAACTCGGCTTGAGGGTTTCTGAGAATAGCTTCCGAAGATTGTTCTCTCTGATGAAATTTTGTATACGTGATTGAATATATGTAATGCTGTTACATGTAATGGATGAAATTTGCATCAGCTTGTCTGAATGATGTTTGCTGGCGGTGCTTGGTATGCAAAAATATTCAACAGGGATTAAAATGAATAGTTGGCAACGGGGAAGGACGAGTTGCATTTGTGTGTGAAGCTGGCAACATTGACGGCCAAATACCAGTACTGCAGACTTAAATTTTGCCGTTCTAATCTGTCACTCTCTGGGAAAGCCGAAAAGGACTTAGCTTTCTAATAGAGAGATTAGTTCATTGCTTATGTATATACTATATAAACATGGAGCATGTGTAAACAGAATAGAGGAAAAAGAGAAGATAATTTTTTATTGATTAACATGAGAATTAGAAGGATTTAAATAGATTAAAATTTAAGTTTCATATTTACCTAATAACTAAATTACTTAAAAATCTTAATTTGATAATATTTAACAGTTTATATTTTATAACAAGATTTTGATTTTTTACATTCTCTCTCCAGTTGGTGCATAGATGTTAATCATGTCTAACTTGTTGACTAGTACTTCAAAATCAAGTCTAGACAAACTTTTGCTTAGAATGCTTGTTGTTTGTTGCTCTGAGGTGACAAATGGCATGCAGATTACTCCACTTTCTAATATTTTCTTAATAAAATGCCTATCAATCTCAATATGTTTTGTATGATCATGTTGAACTGAATTATTAGCTGTGCTTATTGATGTTTTATCATCACAAAACAATTTCATATGGGGTTTTGATTCTAGCTTTTATTCTTTAAGAACTCTTTTTACTATATCATCTCACATACTCTATTAGCCATAGCTTAAAATTCTGCCTTTGAACTACTTTGTGCAACAACATTTTGCTTCTTACTCCTTCAAGTGACAAGATTACCCCAAAGAAATGCATAAGAATTAGAAGTTGATCTTTTATTGGTGATTGAGCTTGCCTAATCCACATCTATGAAAACTTCCACACTTCTCAAATGGTTTTTCTTGAACAATAATCTTTTTCGAGGTGTATTCTTAAGATATTTCAAAATACTGCATACTGCTTCAAGAGATTTTTCATATGATGAGTGCATAAACTGGCTTACAACATTGACTATGAATGCAATGTTCGGCCTTATGTGGGAAATATAATTGGCATTCATTTGGTTTTTCTTCCAAGCTTTGGTTTAGGTCCATTGGTGTATCACTTAGCCTACAACCACTTATTCCAGTCTCTTTTAGCAAATCTAAGATGTATTTCCTTTGTGATACAACAATTCTCTTTTTCGATTTGGTAACTTTCATTCCCAGAAAATACCATAATGGTCTTAAATCTTTGATCTCAAATTTTGTTGCAAGGTATCTCTTCAATACAGCTATCTCAATATCATTTCTTCCTATAAGAATTATGTCATCTACATAGACAATCAAAATTGCAATCTTACCACCATTAGTATGCTTCATGAATATAGTATGATTTGTTTGTCCTTAACTATAGCCTTAATTCTTGATTGTCCTTGTAAATCGCTCGAACCATGCCTTTGGAGACTGTCATAACGTCTAGATCCAGGGATCTATCGCTAGACATTGATTTAAGGGAGTCACCACTAATCTTTTTTATCTAGGTGCGATTGGCCACCTAAAGAATCTGTCCTTTCAGGGAACACCTAAGTTTCAGGGTCCCTAAAAGAATAGGTTCAGGTCTACTAACCAGAATAGGGTTCGTGAGTTCGGTTACGTGTGAGGAAGGTTATAACATCCTCACAACGCCCATCAAAAGATAGTACCGACTTAAATTTGTGTTATACAACAAGCCTTAAAATTTTACCAAGTGATTAATTATTGAAAATTGTTTTCAATTAACTCTAATACTTTTAGCAAAAAATTGAGAAAATCCCCTCACTTCAAGAGTATGCAAGAAAACTACTATTTCAGTTGCAGAGGCTCCATCGTCGGATTATTTAACATTAAAAAACATAAAAAATAAAAAGGAAGAAAAGAATGATTGTTTTTGTGCAGAAAAAATTGATACTTTCAACTTTTCTCCAAAAATATTCTTTTGAAACTTTAATTTCGAAGAAAATTGATACTTTCAACTTTTCTTCAAAAATATTTTTTTTGATTTTTATTTAAAGAAAATAAAACAAAATAAAAGTGAAAATAAAAAAAAAATAAAGAAAAATAAAACAAAAATAAAAATAAAATAAAGATAAAAGAATATTAAATAAACTTAATCTAATAAAAAAAAAACAAACAAATAAATAAATTAATAAATTAATTAAAAAAAAAAACTGGAGCGACTCGAAGAACGACTCGGCTCAGCTCGGCTCAAAGAAAAAAAACAGCTCGGAGAAGCGGCTTAGGAAGTCGGCTCGGCTCGGCTAACGGCTCGGAAAGGCAAAACACGCTCAGGTCAAAAATGGGTCGACGCTCGGGTCGAGTCAGATCTTGGCAAAATGCACGGATCTTCTGGGTTATTTAACGTAAAAATGACGTCATTTTGAGAGGGTATATAAGGCTGATTCCTTCATTTTTTCAGCAGACCGAGCCTTCTCCCTCTCTCTCTTCCTTTTTTTTCTCTTTCTTCTTTCTAAAACGCTTGAAGAACTCCGGTTGAATATTCACCGGATTCTGAAATTTTTTGCCGAATTTTGGGTTTTTCGTCGAAAGTTTACCGAAAAGCTGATCGATTTTTGGAAATATTACCGAAAACTGAAAAGTTGGTCGAAAACTTCGAAGTTGGCCGAAAGCTTTGAAGTTGGCCAAAAACTTCAAACTTGGTCGGAATCTTTGTCGAAAAATTTAATGTTCGTCGAAAAATTCATCGAATCAGAAAATTTTTCAAAAATTTTTAGAAAAAAAATTCGCCAAAAATCTCTAAAAAATTTTTTCGATTCCTAAATCTGTTCTAACACTCTAAACCTTTCTTAGCCTTCAAATCTCTTCTATATGCCTTTTTTTCTCAACCAGTAGCTTATTTCCTCACTGTTTTTCTCTGTGTTCTGTACCTATTTATAGGGATTGATCAGAAGAGTTTCTGATCAATCCCTTTTCCTTTTTGGTTGGAGATTCAATCTTTGAATCTAATCTGGATTCTAATTGAATCCCTATTCTCGGTAGGATTCTTCAACAGAATTCAATCTCAGCCTAAAAAAAAAATCAGATAAAAAAAAATAGATAATTAGAAAAAAATAATAAGATAAATCAATAATATTACAAGATAAATAAAAAAATAATAATAACAGATAAATGAATATATAACTAGATAAATAAAAATACATATAAAATAAAATGAAAAAGAAAAAAAAAGAAAAAAAATAAATAAATAGTAATAATAAATAATAAAATAATAAATACATAGGATACAAAGGAAAATATATACATAAAATATAAAATAAAAATAATAAAAATATAAAATAAAATTGGGCTTACCCATTTGGATCAGGCCCAATTGATTTGGGCTTGGACCAAATTGGATGTCTACAGCTGTCCCTTTTTACACATTTTCTATGAAACAGAAATTACGTAAAAACGTAAAAACGTAGACACCCAATCAAGACTCAACTCGACATTTTTATTTTTTTATTTTTGATCAAAGCTCCTCTAAGCAGAGACTCAACGACTTTGAGAAACATAAATGGCTCCTATAATCAGAGGCTTAATGACTTTGGAAAATAAATTGCTCCTCTAAGCAAAGGCACCGCGACTTTGGAAAGTAAATTGCTCCTCTAAACAGAGGCACCACGACTTTGAAAAAGTAAATTGCTCATTGACAATCATGTCCAAAGGAGTTAAAAATTGTGTTTGAAGGAATTTCAGGAGATTATTCCTAAAGGCCTTATAAATCAACCCCGATACCAAGAGACATCCTATTTCAAGGATTAGGAATTTACCTGACAAGTTTTTTTTTCTCAATTTTAAAAATGTCTTCACATCTATCTTCTCTATGTGGGATCTTGGAACACTCCTGCTTCTTGAATTTATACACTATACTTTCTTGAAAGTAGTATATGCTATGCAATGCATATGAATTTCAATGCATGCTATGCAAATGTTGGCCAATTAATTCCTATTCAATGTATGGTACTCAAGTTTCTCAAGCTCTTTTCTTAGGCATCAAGCTCTTTGATTCTTCAAAGATTCAATTACACTACTCTTCTAAGATCGAGCCAGTGTAGCTCTTAATTATCTTTTTCACTTATATTCTTCCTGTAAGAAATCTCTTCCCAAATTCAATGTCCTAATCAGGAACTGAACATCTCGATTCTGCCTTTATCACTCTTGACTTATTCAATGTAATGTAAAAATCTTTTCATGTTGTTATTCATTCATCAATCATTATTTCAAACTCAAAAAGTAAGAATACATTTGCACATTTCTTCCATGACGGGGTACTAAGAAGAAAGGAATATGAATGGTTGAGAAACAGTCATAAAAAAAAGACACAAAGAATGAAATAGAATGTCTCTTATTAGCAAAATGTTGGCTAATTTCAACCAAGGGAGAATTACAAGGATAAGTATGGGGATAAAGCCCAAAATGGACAATCAGATAATCATGATAACACATCTCAAAGTTTTTTTTCTGAAAACCCAACCTTCTGATGTATTTAATAACTTGAAACTCTTTCGAATTTGCTAGCCTCCATGTCAGCAGACTTTTAAATTCGATGCTATATTCTCCT